AACAAAAAATTCGGACAGTAGCACGTGCAAGGCCCTTCTCATGAGACACGTTGCCGTCCCCCTGTGACGGCAAGTACATTGGTCTTGTCTCATAGGCGGTCTCATGTAGTGCCACGTAATTTTAAGACGACTTAATAGACAATATGTAAAATGGCTATTTTTTAAATTGTCTTATAGTAACTCACAATTTTTTAATTTATGGATAGAGTAAAAATAAAGTTGTGAGTTATATGGCAACAACAACTCATTCAATGGTAGAATAGTTGTCTCATAGTCCTAAATTTTAGCTCATGAGGTGGTTGTTTCGCGAAACAACGACCTCTTTCTCTCTATCCTCTCTCTTTCCTCCACATCAGTAAAAATCCAATATGGCTCTGCATGAGACGACGTACGAGACCGCTAACGGGAAACGATCTACCTGCCCTGAGAGGCTGACCTCATCGTCTAGCCGTTTGGTGCTTGTCCTGTCGGTTCATCTTTTTCTAGCTTTCAGTTCAGCCAGGTGGTGGTCAGGTCATCTGCAATCATCAAGGAACAGTCATCATGAATCATGGCACCGCATGGCATGACAAATTTAGTTAGTTTAACATAACACAAATAATGGAGTAGCCTGTAAGGATATATGCCAAAAATAACAATGGTTTGGGTCGTCTGATTCTTTTACTAAGAAGCTTTTTTAGTAATAAAAATGATACAAGTTTTACCCCCTTTAGTGCTCTTGCAATATATTTTTCTTTCTTTTTGAAACACATACTAGACATCTAAGACATGACTTGTTGCCATTTGCCAACCCCTCGACACGGGCCGTCATGTATACCACTTAAAAACAATCATCCATTGATCAGGTGAACGTTAAGAACCTAGAGCTAATTAATTTTGTCCCCTTTATCTTTGAAATATGCAATGTTTTTTTTTAGATTTTTTTTGTATTGTAACATGAATATTTTTTTATTGGTATGTATACTCGGTGGCGGAGCCACCACATGATGAGCCCGGCTAGCCGCCTGGTGGGCTTGTCAACAAAGTGCAAATAGATCTTTTATTTGTATAAGGAACACTATAATTTTTTAGATAAATATTTCTGCATAATGAGTATAATTCGGGTCCTAAAAGTTTCTGGTTCCACCACTATATATACTCTGACCATGTATATATTTCATCATACATGATTGTTGTCGGTTTGAACGGCCCTTCGTTATGTCCAGATCCTTACGTCGCCCTTGTCTAGATCCACTGTAGAGAGAGAAGGGAAAAAAAGAGTGCTAAATATTTACAGACCAAAACAACTAGAAACGGTTTGAGGACTCGATTGTAAACTTTAGAAAGGTGATGCCCAAAGGTAATTTTGATGATTGCTGAAAGGCTCTATTACATTCATTCCAATTCCACCAGAAATAATCAATTAAATCATCAAAGTCCCGTCTTCTTGTCTTATCAATCTTTAAGCTTGTTTTCTCCACCACTTGTACAGTGAACCTCCAAAACTCACATAGCTCATTGAGGAGAGATTTCTCCGGCCGATGAGAATGTTCCTGACTTATTTTTAAATGGGCAATCCACGCAGAGGTGATTCACCATTTTGTTAGTTATATGGCACAATTTCTAGATCGGATCATGCTACCAGCCTTTCTTTTGTAGGTATTCTGTCACAAGAGTCTTTGTTTATATTCTCCGGTTCACCACCTTCCCAAAGAAAAGCTCTTCTTATTTGATCAATCTTGTGAATTAGTCTTTTTTGGGCTGGGAAGATAGTGAGCAGATAAATGGGTTGTGATGATAAAACTGTTTTGATAAGAGTCACCTTTCCAGCTTTGTTAAGAAGCTTTCCTTTCCATGAAATAATTCTTTGAAATGAACTATGAGCCTAGAAGATGATTAAAACTTCTTTTATTTGACTCATTTATCGTAAATTATCACTCTTACCTTCTCCCTACGTCACAAAAATAAGTGCACTTCTAGAATTCTTAGAAGAAATCAATACTACTTGGAAATTACATATTTAACCCCATCAAAACCTATTTCATCATGTAAAGGTTGCACTTTGCAAATAGAGAAAAAAAAAAAAAGATTACCACAATTAGGTGGATCATATAAGTACACTTTTTTTTGAGATAAAATTTAAATGCTAAAAATATATTTATTTTAGGACGGAGAGAGTAGAGTTTATCTTAGAAAATCTAAAAAAAGTCACTTTTATAAGAGAATAGAGAATCAGAGTGGTAGAAGTTATACCAACAGAAGGGCTACCGCCTGAACGTCCGGACGGACAGGGCGTCCGGACGTAGCTCCAGCGCGTTATCCCGCACCGCATCCCACGACTCGAGTGCGCATCCCATCCAGCGTTAGCGCCCCCACGTCCGGATGCCGCACCCGCGCCCATCACGCTCTCTAGCAGCCCATCCCGCGCCCTCGCGCCCATCCCCAGGCCCCATGTGGGTCCCAGTCGCCTACCCCGCTTGTGAATGCGTGATGCCGAGGTATCCGCCGGCCTCAGGCGCCCGCGCGGTGACCCACAGCGGTGCCCCCGGCAGCAGCAGTAGGGCGGCTGCGGTAGATGAAACATGTGCTCTCCTAGATTTACTTTTGAAATATCCCGATGAAACATTTGCAACATACGTCTAAAATAGATAAAACACTTGAAACAAATGTGTATAGTCATAGCAACATATGCAACATCGAGATCTACTTTTATAACATCCAGATGAAACACTTGCAACATGAGTCTGAAACATGTGAAACACTTGAAACAATACGCTTGAAACATACGTATAGAGCCACTGTAACATATACAACATCCAAATGAAATACTTAAAACATATGTCTGAAACAGCTGAAACACTTGGAACATAGGCTTACAACATATTCTATATCCCAGATCAATTTGCAACCTTAAGATGAAACACATGAAACATAAGTCTGAAACGCCTGAAACACAACGTTGTCGGCGGCCACAACCTACTTGGTGAAGAACTCCGGTAGCCAGCAAGCTCGGGTCAGAGGGACGTCGAGAGCAACGGTCTAGCGTACATCCCAGGCGCAGCGTGCAGGCCTCCCCTTCCTGCCAACGGGCGTGCTGGATAGGGGGCGTAGGCGCAGGCCTCCCCTGCCTCTCCTTCTGCGATGGGCGAAGTGGATGGGAGCATGGCGCGAGGCGCAGAGCAGCACGGGATGTGGCCGGGCACGGCGGCGGAGAGGAAGGCGGGCGGGAGGCGTGGCGGAGTGCGGTTGCGGAGTAGTCGGGGGCGCTGCAGCGATTTTTTTTAAGAAATTACCGAAGAGGAGAGAGACTTGTGGGCATCGCGGTCCACCAACGAGGCTGGACGTCCGCTGGACAGAGCATTACCGTTATACCAGACGCTAGTGTGTCCTCGTCCGAGGGGGTGTTCGAGGCGAGCTTCTTCTCGCCGGACCCCAAGCAGCGCTCTATACCTCGGCATCTGGCACCACAGCATCTTTGCCGCTTACCGTCGTCATCTGGGGTCGCCAACTGCGTTGCGCCGGCCATCTCGGCCTTGCCGCCGCAGCGTCACTCACGCTCACTGTCACCGGCGAGCTCCGCATCCTAGACGACACGACGGCAAACGGCACTACCGCGGCGCTGCTTCTCTGCTCGTTGAACACCATCTCGCGGGTTGGACGGGTACTTGGCGTTGCTATGGGACAGCTTCTGGCTCCCAACAGACACCATACTATCCTGGATGCACGTCAACTTGTACGTACTCTTGCGGACTTGCGAACAGCAGTATCCTGTCTCCGCTGCTCTAGTCCTCGAACGCCACTGATGAGTTTTTCCCCTGGTCGTTGAGGCTATACTGACACTGCGACTTTAAAAATATTGTCTGATTTAGAGATTATGTTGCGGATTCTACCTAATTTGAAGATTTAAATATAGAGAGCTAATTTACGTATATGAGATATTTACCTGTATGGCCCTCAAAATAACGCGTATTCCTTCCAAATTCTGTTTTTTTTTAACTTACGTGTAAGGTGCGAAAACGAAATTCTCTTACATGTATGGCATTCCGTCTGTTTCTAGCACTTAACGAAATAAAATAAAATGCAGAGTTTAGTTTGTCTTTTTTTAGATTTGGAGTAATATTGTGCAAATAAAGTCACACATATGAATGTATATGATTATATGTCTTATTAAGTACTGCTATATCATATTCAATCAGGGGCCGAAGAAAGGGGCGCCGTGCGTGCTCTTATCCTTTGTGGACCATGGGCCTTAAGTGGGAACCGGATGTTTGTTTCCGCGGCGGTTCGTCGTATGGAGCGTTGGGCCGAATTATAAAGTGCCCAGTTGTTCAGCCGTTCGTTAAAGGGCCTTTGGGGAGACGCTCGCTCTGGGGGCCCGGTCGCTCTGCCGTTTTTGCCACAGCAGCGCACACGGCCTGCCTGCTTGTTCTGCATTCATACTTGGCACATGGCAGCGGCTCTCAGTCTCAGCTCCGTTGATTTGATCGTGCCCTAGCTAATTCGTCTTGAAACGGAAAAAGAAATGGCCGAAGGAGATCGTTTCTACTTCATTTACGGCATCGCACGTTCCATTGGATATATATATGCCATACATGTGTAACTATAATGTAGCGAAAATGCACGCATAACAATAATGGTGGTCACTGGCACAAACGATAAATGTACAGTCACACGCAGATGCGTGATCGATCTTGAGCAACTACGTACACATCATCACTCCCAGACGACACCACGCACACACTGCTGGAATATACACACACGCTACTGATTCAGATCAGCTCCACACTCACACACTGCGTCGAAATCAAATTAGCGAGACATGCATAATAGCTAGCTAGCTAGCAACTTCACTGACGTAGACGACGGCGATGACTGTGTCAAACACTAGCTAGCTGCAGCACGTACCCCGATCCTCACAAAGTCACAACTAATTAACAAGCCCTCCATGGATGATGATACTGAGAGACTGATGAGATGATGCATGAAGCGAGCTAGCTAGCTTGCTAGCATCAACCAGATGATCAGACGTCGACGACCCTGAAGGAGTCGCGGTTCTTGATGACGATGTCGTACATGTGGACGGAGGAGAACCTGGCGAAGTCGGCGGGGAGGGAGATGAGGTCCAGGGACCCGCGCTTGTGGAACTGGTACAGCGCCGGATCCTCGTAGTAGCGTTCCCACCCCAGCGCCCGCAGCTCCGACTCCAGCTCCGCGTACGACCGCACCACCTGCCCGCTCGGCGTGTGCACCAGCGCCTTCCGCCGCCGCACCGCCTCGCCGCCCGCCGCCGCGCCGTTCTCCACCAGGCGCACCACGCCGTTCTTGAACACCCAAACGCCCGACATGCTGGTGAATTGTTGATCGATAGATGATGGTAGCGATCAACAGCTAGCTTAGCTAGTTAGCTACTAAGCAAGTCGTCGATCGTCGTTAGCAAAGCTAGCTAGCTGACTTGAGGGAGAGATGGTTAGCGTTGCTGCTGCTGGGGAGTATCGGGGGTGGATGGATGGATGGTTGATGAAGCAAGGGAGGCCGATCAAGGGTGTATATATAGAGCATGAAGGGTAGAGCATGAAGCAAGCCAAAAAGTGCCAGAGGTATATATTGATGATGCGGGGTAGATGTGACATGGATGTAGGAGACATACAACACATACATATACATATATGTTACGTATGTGAATATATACACCACTAGCTAGCTACATACGGGGCACGTACTAGATATCATTATGCTGATAATGAATGAATGAATGAAGAAGGCAAATTAAGGGAAAGGTAAGCCAGCTCTCTAGCTAGAGATCAGCAGAGAACATACATCTTGGTTTGCAGTGTGGGGTCGCAGTTAGGTTAGGTCACGCGAATGAACGAAAGATGCTGTTTATTCTGAACAACGAAATTAAATTAGCTAGAGAGGAATCGGAGGAAGATATATTAAACTTGAGTGTATGTACACGGGATCGGAGAATATATGTGTATACATGTATCTCTATATATTGTGTAACAGTGTTAGTTAAGGATTCTCTCTGCTTCGATCCCCAATGTGCTTGATAAGCTACCTGGAATATATTTGCGAAAAGACAGAAATGAAAGATCCACGCACAAGTGCACTGCACGGATTGTACAAAAGTGTGTGGATAGTGCCGTGCATCCGACATCTTCCATATATAATTGCACGCACTGTAGTATGTAGTCTCCGGAAAAGCAGTAAATCGTTTCATATATTGGAACCTATACTGCCATATTTTATGTTCAGACCGAATTCAGGTGACAGATCAGGTAGAGATGGCGTGATTTCACCACGTGTTGCGCCACCATCACGGCACGCGTAGCAAAGGCAGAGAAATATCTCCAAATTTTTGCATCTTTTGATGGGGATGTTTTGGAGTGGAAATGTTTGCTTAATTGCAAATGGGGCGATCTATCTATCTAGCTATACTAAATGTTCATATGCATGCATTTGTTTATAAATAAAGTTAATTCTGTGGAAGTTAGATAAGTATTCGATCGCTTGTCGAGAAAAAAAAAGTATACGTTGTGTGCGGAATCCTACCAACCTTTTCCCCGAAAAGAAAAACAAAAAGGATCGGGGGGCCAAATTTTCACTACTCAAGAAGGGAATACGATTCACTCGCTATAGTTTACTCCTATACTTAGCCATCGCACAAGAGAATTTGGGCTAGCTGTACGTGCTCATCCTTAGAGCTAGCAATTTTTTCTCTCTTTTTTAGCGAAAGGGAATTTGATCGATCATCGAGATCAATCTCGCCTTTTATCGTCCGGGAACAAAATTGATGATTCTCGCTCATTGTCAAGTATATATTTTGGTGTACGGCAGGAATAATGCGGGATGCAACGCAATTGATGTATGCTTTTCGCTGTAGGCAAGCTTGGAGCATCTGCAAAGAGAGATTTTGGCTTATCCTAGTTTCCCCTAGTGCGGCCTACGTGATGGCACATTTGTTGGATCCGCTGGTGTCCGATATCTATACATGGGTATCCGAGCCAAATGATTAATGAGTGTCACGTCGGCTCATCCAATGATTAAGGATGCAATCTGCGACCTCGTCCGACTCCGAGGACGAGGTTTCCGCCTCGTCCGACCCCCCGGGGCTGGACCACGCCTCGTCCGACTCCGAGGACAAGGTCTCCGCCTTGCCCGACCCACAGGGGCCGGGCCACGCCTCGTCCGGTCCCACGGGAAGGGCTCCGCCTCGTCCAACTCCGAGGACAAGGTCTCCGCCTCGTCCGACCCCAGGGCCGGGCCACGCCTCGTCCGGTTCCACGGGAGGGCTCCGCCTCGTCCGACCCCCGAGGGTCGGATTCCGTCTCGCCCGGCCCCCAGGGCGAGATTTCCGCCTCGCCCGATCCCGGGGGGTCGGATTCGCTGTCGGATAAAAGCAGTGGCCCCAGGGTGGGACCCGAACCGTTTCAACCACTACGGCATGAAGGCGCACGTCCGGGAGCATATCTCGGACGCGTCCTGATGCGACGGACGGTCACATCAAGACGTGCTGGGAGACTCGCGTCGCCCACCGAGTCAACAGGCCGACACTTTGCTGCAAAATCCCTGCCTGACCACCATCCAGCGTCAGTCAATCGGCATCAGATTGACTAGCACCGTACCGCCAGCCCCCCGTATGGCTTCTGTCAGAGGACCCTTTGACCGTTCCGTCCGCTCGGATGGGATGGAAGACAAGAACGACGCACGACACCCGCACGTATGCTACAGCGGCCAACAGGACTCCGGTACGACGCAACTGCCACCACGATCTACAGGGTCAGCGGGACCCACGCGAAAAGGAGGACGGCACACCTCTGGGAGCCTTATTTCCCTTTCTTTTTCTCTTTTCCCTTCCGTTGTAACCTCTGCTTTCTCCTTGGCCTATAAAAGGGAAAGCAGGGCGTCCCACTAAGGGGCATCGGTTCATCGCATCGCATATCGTACTGCATCACACCAAAACCACTAGCATCGAGCCTCGAACACATAGTTGCGCAGTAGCCGAGCTCTCGGTACCCTTTCGTTCTTTCCACCAGAGACTTGGGACATGTCCTTCTCTCGCCTGTTTGTAACCCCTACTACGAACTTTTCAGTGCTAGTAACACGAGCAGCAGCCACGAACTGGACGTAGGGACATTCTGGCCGAACCAGTATAAATCTTGTGTCTTCTTAGCACACCATCCGGGTCAGACGCGCAATATATAAATTTACTCGTTGGTGTTTACTGACATTTGGCTACCTAATTCCCTGTAAATTAAGTGTCTATTTGGGATTGCTCCACTCCAGCTTTTTTTCAGCTCGCTCTACATGCTATGGATTCATCTAAGGGCAATATTATATTAGACCTTTCATAGAAAAATGTCTTATTCATGGTGTTAAAGTTAGACTGCATGCCAAACAGGTCCACCTGCTCCACAAACTCCAAAGCAGAGTTGTTCCATGGTGGAATTAGTGGAGCATAACTAGAAAAAACTAGAGTGGAGCGGTCCCAAACAGGCCCTAACTTGACATGCTAAGCTAGATGGATTCATAAATATGAGAGTCGGTTCGGTTGTACAGTACGTGGTGATGAACGTCGCAAAGGAAATGCTTGTTTTTTTGTGTGTATGTCAAAGTCGCCTTTTCACGTATATATTAAGCTCTAGAACAGTATTTTTCTCTCACAACAATTAGCCGAAACAATATTTTTCAGTCCTGCCGAACAGGCACAAAGTTCTCCTTATCTTCCTCCTGAATCTCTATGCATTACCAATATTAGTCGTGCTTGCTAGGTATAAAGCTACGTGTCCTACCTAGCTAAAACCATCCAGCTGGAGAATTTGTGATATGGTAGTATATGTATGTGTGGTGATTCTATATTAGTACAGGAATAAGATCATACTAGTGCTGGCCGGCATGTATGCGATTACTTACAGCCAAGAAACTCTAGAGATGGGGAATCATATTCGATTAATCGATGGATGGATCGTACGCGTATATCGCATGCCGCTGTACACACACGCAGACACACATATTCTCACGTACGTGTAAACTGTACACCAAATCTTTAAGATAGTAACCAGTTAGCATAGAAAGGCGAGCTCGTGCATGCCTAACTATTTTTGACGAGTTGAACACGTGCTGATGATGGGGTCTGATCGATCGACTACACTAATATATTCGTGAACGGCTGCATGCATGAGCGAGCTGATGACCAGTCGATATATATGTCCATATCTTTCATGTGTGATTCTCTCTCGTTTTCAGCATGAGAATATTTAGAGGTTTAGACAAATATGGCTTTATTACGTAACAGTCGTAGTATTTTTATTAGACGACTGATCTGACTATATGACTGGTGGTGACTAGGATGCATGGTTTCCACAAGTTACAGCATACTGCTAGCTCTCAGGTCAAGCTCAAGATGCCAAATTTTGTTCAAACCAAGCGGGAATTGTCCATGTTTCACACTGCGTTTTGACGATCGCGATTCGATCGTGTCAGCCAGCTTTGCTAGGGTTCCAGATTGGCTAGATATACATGCTTGGATTAGCACGGAAGTTAGCCGGAAGAAACTATATTAGACTTATGTCTCCGAGGAGTCACTGATCATGTGTTGCCATATATCCATTGTTAAAGGGGCGTGGCTAGAGCCCCGAACGTCCGGATGGACGCGGGCGTCCCGTGCAGCCCGCCTATTTCTCCGTCTTGCTTGGACTCGCACGCGCACCCCGCCCTCAATGTTGTGCCCGCCGCTCCTCGCGTCCGGACTGCCATGCAGCCCACCCCCCGTCCGCCTCGTCCCCGCCTCACAAGCGCACCCCGCACCCGTCGCTGCGCCCCGCTCCTTCCCCCTGACACCCTCCTCTCTCTCCACATGGGTGGGACCTGAGAGCCGGCCCACAGCTTGTTGCACTCCCGTTCGCCAGCACCCAGCTCACCACGCCCCATCCTTCAGTGCCCGGGCCGTGCGCCCATCACTCACCATGCCCCCGTGAAACACTTCAATATGAAACACTGGATGCAACATATGTCTGACATAGATAAAATATTTGAAATATACTGTTGCAACATATGTGTGAAACATATGCAACATCCAAATAAAATACTTGCAACATGTGTGTGAAACATATGCAACATCTAAATAAAAAACTTGCAACATGTGTGTGAAACATATACAACATCTAGATAAAACACTTGCTGCAATATATGTCTAAAACAGATAAAATATTTTGAATAAATGTTTGCAACATACCTCTGAAAACACTTACAAAATATGCAACAATTACAATATGCCTCTAAAACACTTGAAACATTTCAAACATATATTTGCAACATAGGGAAGAGGAAGGCCGGGGCCAGTCGA